CTATTTAAATCAATAATCTAAATTAATTAAAAATAGTAATCTATACATATTCGCATACAAGTCCCTTTCAAGAGATGTTTCTCTTGCTATCTTCCTCGAAGATTCTACAATATTCCGTCAAATCTGCAAACCTTCTTATCCTTTGATATCCCACAGCTTGCTTAATCTCGGGACGCAAACCATTCTCATATTTAATACACTTTGAGAACTTAGCAGTAATTGCAGCATAGTGTGGATGGAATTGAACCAACTCCACAAACTTAGTAGTATAGTCCACCACGGACATACTACCTTGTTTCAGTTCAAGGAATTCCATCTCCTTCTTCCCTTTCACACTTTCAGGGTAATACTTCCTCAAGAACTCAGTACGAAATAAATCTCAAGTTATCTCTTCATCATCCACCTCAAGAACTTGACGCATACCGACCCACCAATCGTCGGCTTCTTCCTTCAGCATGTGAGACCCAAGTCTCGCCTTATTCCCTTCCGCACAACCCATAACTATGAAGATCCTTTCAATCTCTTTCAACCAAATTTGAGTACCATCGGAATCAAATCTTCCTTTGAAGACTGGTGGTTGATTCTTCTTGAACTCGTCATTAGCATTCACGTTCGGTGCACCTTGCACTGCCCTGGCCATTGCTTCCAAAGCAGCAGCCATCGCATTGTCGTTACGACCAGCCATATTCTGACCATTCCCAAAAATAACAACAAGGTTAAACAACCGTTCAACCAACACAACAGCAAGACAAACACAACTGACTCAACACTGGCTCTGATACCACTTAATGTAACACCCCCTTTATATACCCCCAAATAATTACATAAACAATTAGTCACATATTAAAAATTTCATCAAAGTATAATTATAAGCATGGTATAAAAGAGGTATGCCACATTATACATGAAATTACAACATACAACACCTGCTCAACAAATGATATGCAACAGTGGGGTAACTTTGCAACAGAGGAACTTAGTCCTTACACCCACATCTCAATATTTAGAATAAAAGCGGAAAATCTAAACATTGAATAGCATCAAACATATATACATATATACATCATCTAGAATTATTCAACAACATAAGTCATGTTTTCATAAACATTCGCCAACAAGACACATATACAATGTATCACAAATGAATCTCAAATAGCCTAGCTACCCAGTGCTACATATCAGAGCCAACCGACCAAAAGAATGAAGACACGCTTCACAAAAAGACCTCCAGCATACCTACTCTGCAATGCCTCATAGAGCACCATAAAACAGCAGAAGGGTGAGAAATATTATCATAATAACAATGCATATAATCATATATATAGCATAACGTACACATATTCTGCATTCTCACCACAATTCATCACAACTCACTCATATACATCACAATGTATGTATGTATATATATATATATATATATATATATATATATATATATATATATATATATATATATATATATATATATATATATATATATATATATATATATATATATATATATATATATATATATATATATATATATATATATATATAACCAAGCATTTTCATCATGCATACTTTCACAATCCCATCATTCCACATAAACATACACAATTTATGTTCATTCACCAATGCACCATTATAAAGATGATAAATGCAAATCATAGAGACCGATAACGACTCTATGCAGATGCAATGTGGTACCGACTCAATCATCACAAGTTCATTCAGGAACTTATTGGAACCATAGCTCACACCCCACATGGGCACATGATGTGCACCCATTGCTCACACCCCACATGGGCACACAATGTTTAGGGATTGCTCACACCCCACACGGGCACACAATTCGATTGCTCACACCCCACATGGGCACACAATCATTGGTAATCATCGCTCACACCTCACATAGGCACACGATGTTACACCCATTGCTCACATCCCACATGGGCACACAATGTTTATGGATTGCTCACACCCCCACATGGGCACACAATCCTTTACACAAGAATGCACTTCATGATGCTTCACATGCAAAATGACTCCAGACTTTCTTGAAATGCATACATATTCAAAATATATATTCATGCATTCATCTCATTCTATCACATACAATCCATATACATTCACATTCAATTACGCCAAACGGTAATGAATTCTATCACAATTATCATGCATTCACATTCAATTTAAATAATGCATATATTTTCCAAAAGGGCACAATTCACAATCCATTCCACAATCTAGGATTCACGCCATACGGCTACCCACATCATATCATATAACAGCAGACAAGCTACACATCGATGAATCGAAGAATCGATATTGGATTGAAACAAAATAAAAATGTTGTTCTATCATGCTCGCTAGCGTGTTCGCTAGGCGAGCTGAATGGCGAGCCCTTCGCTACGCCACTCGCTCAAGCGAGTTTGGGTGTTTTTGGTTCTATCCAATTCTGGGAGTGTTCGCTGGTAGCTCGTTGGGTACTCGCTTAGCGAACCCTTCGCTACCTCACTCGCCAGCTATTCGCTTAGCGAATCCTACGCTACTCAAACCCTCAATCCTCCAAAAATGTCAGAAAGTCACAAAATCACCCGATTTTATTCAAACAAGTTCCAATAGTCTCGGCCTGACATTGCTCGACTAAACTACGCAATTTATTTCAAATTCTAACCGTGAAAATATCGGTTTCTATCTATTTAACTCATTTCGACCTAAAATGGAAAATATAGAAAAACAACCTAAACAATCCAAACAACACATACATAATCATACACATTGATAAGATAATAAGATTTCACACCCTTACCCGATTAAATCGATTCCTAGAAGTTGTTTTGAAGATCTACAAGTTTTTTTTCTCTTTTTCTTCTCTTTTCTCTTCTTCCTCCTTTCTTTCTCTCCTCTTTCCCTCTTATATCTTTCTATTTCTTTTCTCTCAAAATATCTACTAATTCATCTTCTCACAAAATTTCTAACTTATCATTAATTAAGAAATATCTAAAATACCCTCCAACTAATTAAGAAATTTCTAACACAATATGCAAACATAACATATTAACACACAAATTCCACAAATAAAATAATAATCACCCAAATAAAATAAAAGACTCAACAAAAATGGGAAATCAGAATCGGGGCGTTACATAATGCGTGTTGTAGTCGAAGTTTGTTCTAACATGCATTAGTCAATATTGCTAGATTTGTTAGCATGTTGAATTGAGTCTTGCTTGTAAGCCCAATTGTTTAAGTTAGTTTGTAATGGGTAATTGTTAACAAGCCCATTAGGTTAGTGTGCTATTTTTCTTATAAATAGCATGCTAGTCTCTCATCTTAGTATAAGGAAAAATAGGAAGATAAAACCCTAGTTCAAGTGAGAGAGGTTATTTTGTTATTCTTATATACTTGTAATCTTGTTCTAAGAGAAAGGAAAGAATAGCAGTTTATAACAAATCCTTGTTTTTCCTTGTTTTCTTTGTTAATCCTAACCCTTATGTGTTTCTTAATCATAAAAAAACCGTTTATATTTTGTTTCAAGACATCCTATTTAAAACATTAATCGTGATAATATATCGAACGTGTTTAGATTTTCTACAACGGTCATAAGACTGTGATCGTTAGTAGCACATATACAACCAACACATAATCATTAAAAAAACTGTTTATATTTTGTTTCAAGACATCCTATTATTAATCGTGATAATATATCGAACGCGTTCAGATTTTCTACAACGGTCATAAGACCGTGATCGTTAGTAGCGCATATACACCCACACCCTCTGTAATAACGGCAGATCACACATGATATTGTCTATTTTTCAACCGTTGTTGTATATGTTTTATGTAGTAGTGTTTTAATGGTAAAATGACCATTATTGAATTTTCTTTGAAGAATCATTGAAATTTTTCTTAGTTTGAAAAATCATTATGCTGGTTGTTATACCAGATACTACGAATAATATTTATATCATTTTTGAATGACCTTTATACTAGCAAAAAATATATTTTTAGATCGATTATCCACCGTACAAGTAATAATTATATAATATAAAATTGAGTTATTTTATTTTGGAGGTGGCATGGTATTTCAATTATTTTGTATAATTTTTAGATAATTTCAAAAGTGTAAAACAACACCTTTCAATCTTACATATAATTAATTTTCAAAACCTTAAAACACCTTTAAATTTTATATATAATTAATTTTCGAAACCTTGCAATTTTATATAATCTTATATAGTAATTTTTAAGAAAAGAATAAAGAACATCTAAAGCCACGATGTTTCTTTGAGTGCTATTTAAATCAATAATCTAAATTAATTAAAAATAGTAATCTATACATATTCGCATACAAGTCCCTTTCAAGAGATGTTTCTCTTTCTATTTATTAAAACTCTACCGAAAATATTTTTTTCAAAAGACGTTTTTCTCCCCATTTATTAAAATTCTATAGAAAATATTTTCAAAAAAACAACTATGATACTAATGTTTTTTTCATTCTCCGTCTTTATCCTCTCAATTGAGGGTTGAGGGTGAAGAAAATGAGACTTGGCAACACTATTAAATCATTAAAATTGAATCAACTTTTTAAATTAAAGAACATTGTTATTGCAACAATTATAAAAGAATATTTTTCAAATGATAATCTTCCTTAAATGTTTCTCAAGTTGTCCTTTTGTAATAAAATTTGAAACAACAACTTGAAAGAGTAATTTGACAAAGATTTGACTAAAATCACATTAAATTTTTCTTTAATTTTCTTTTCTTCTACTTTCTCTTCTCTACCAAAGGAAACATAAACATAAAAGATGAAGTATATTTAAGAAACACAAAAGCAAACTAGGATTCATTCATTAAGTAAATCCTTACAACACATTCATAATCACCAAGTGACTAATTCCATAGTAACAATCACAACCTTAGGTAAGATACCTTCATTCACAAATCAAACACCATAACTTAAAACCTTAATTTCTTTTTACTCCTAAAGGACTGCAATGATCACAATCACATAACTATTTCAACTCATCATTGATGAGCTTAGATGATTTCTCATCCTCTTGGACAATACTAACCACTCTAGGACCTTTGATCTTATCATGTGACAACTTATTAAGTGTTAAAGTAAGAACACCATTTTCCATCTTAGCCTTCACAGAATCCAAATCCACATTTTCAGGCAATCTAAATTGCCTCCAGAACTTTCCATAAGATCTTTCAACTCTGTGCCAATGATCTCCTTTCTTCTCTTCTTCTTTCTTCCTTTCACCACTCACTCTCAGCACCCTGTTCTCTTCCACTTCTATCTTTATATCATCTTTTCTTAACCCAGGTACGTCCAGCATTATAACATGTCCCTCTGGAGTTTCCTTCCAGTCTACTCTAGCATGTGATAGTGTCACTGATGGTTCGTGTTTCTCAACTCCATAGGGAATTTGTTCTAAGACGCGAAATGGATCTGGGAAACGATCAGACCAGAGATCTGATAGGAGAGTGTTGGGAGAATCTAAGAATGGTAGTAGTGATCCTTTTGCTCTGAAAGGAAAATCACCAGCAAAAAAGATAAGCAAAAGAAATGTCCCCAATAACATGTTTAGCGGTTGCAGACTCATACTTGGAAATGTGTGTTTTAGGTTTCGAACCTGGTGTGGACAATTATATTAATATGATGCTTGTGTTTGTGTCTTCAATTTGGTGGAAACAGAAAGATTGGCATGTTGTATTTATAGGTTGTAAATGTGACATGGTTCTCGAAGATTCTATATGCAGTGAGATAGAAGTAATATATAACAGAGAGAAATTGAGAGAGTTCTAGACTAGTATGGTGTTTTAGAGGAGAGAAAGGTGGTTGGTTCTAAAAGCATGAGATTTCGAACCTCTTCGAGAGCCTTCGCGTGGATAGTAAAACATGGTTCTTTATGCTAAGTGACATAATTTAACCTTCATTTTTTTCTTTTACATTTTTTTATAAGCATTTTTTTTTGACTATTTTCTTTTGAGGTTATTAATTTTTCTTTAATAAATTCCATTAAAAACAATTATTTGATATTTAATTTTAAATAATTCAGATAAATAAAATATTTTTTTTATTTTTTATTTGTTTTAAATAGTTCATATAAATGAAACATATTTGTTTTTTTTCTTTTTTATTTAATTTTTTTGTTTTTTTTTAATTTCCAAATAAAAAATAATATAATAAATTTAATGTACATAATTTTATGTACAAACTCTTTATTTAAGAGTATTTATTAGAATTTAATAATCTAAATTAATTAATTAGTCGTGCATCTCTATTGTGAAATATAATATATTGATACATGAATATTACTACCTCCGTTCCTTGTTAAGGCTATTTTTTAGAAAAAAAATTGTTTATTTTTAAGTGTCATTTCAAAGTTCAAAGTAGTATTGATTGTTATTTTAACAAAATTATCCCTAGTTATTTATTACAAAAAGAGAAAAAAGTTAAATAAATTAACAAAAAGTTAAGGCTAAAATAGGAAAAAGATAATCATTTTTTAAAAAGTAAAAAAATAACACTTAAAAAGGCCAACTACATCACCATATCTCAATTTGGTACTTCAAAGCATACACAATGAAGTGCATTTTTTTTTGGAATGCACTGGATCTAGCCAATACCTCCACTAGAATGGTCTTCAAGAACTTCCTCAAAACCCATAAACCTGAATCATGGATGAACATGTAAAAGTTTCCTTCTAATTTTTTAAATTCCCTTAACTTCAAAATTTTTGCTTCCAATATTAGACCTCAAAACCTTCCTAATCTCTGGTGTGTTTACTCCAAAAATCTTACTCCTCAAATCATTTTCATCAAATATCAGTTAGTAGCTTTCAGCATAACAATTGACAATGTTAATATTTGTATTGTCTCCATATATGCTTCTACATGTGTTGACAAAAGAAAATCTGTATGGTATGACCTTACTAACCTCCTTATTTTGGACTGGGTCAGAGGCTGGCACATCGTCGGGCACGGCCCAACCCAGCTCCTCGTCGGAGAGGCCCAATGAATGTCCAATTCGTCAACGCATACGAGGAGATCTCACACGTCTCCCCGACGGTCTCCACGTACCTCCCACGCAGGAACACATAATCATGTAATTATTCACTTTCCGAAGATCACGGGGCAGTTGACCTAGGACGAACACCATGCGACGGTCTTTCCTATGCCATGTAAGTCTTGACAGTTACTCTTATTAGACCTTGCAGTCCAACTCAGTGCAAAGTAACTGTTGGCCCAGCGCTAGGGGCACATTATAAATATCCTTTTTCACTAGAGGGTCAGGTATTCAATTTTCTACACACTTTTTCTGTACTTACTCTTTCTAGTCTCTTACTTTGGCATCGGAGTACCTTGCAGGTACACCCCCTCCACTTCTCCACCACCGGAGAACAAAGGAGCTCACAACGTGTTGCTGGCTGCTAATCTTTTTTTGATCCGGTAAGATCAGTGGTGTCGTCTGTTGGAAACTTGCTTCCCCGTTCTTCCTTCTGGAAAAAATCCAAGAACTAAAGCATACCTCAACCTCTGTTGATCATGGTCAGCCCACGCAATAACGACAACATCTAAGAAACCGCCTTCACCCCGTTCACCAACAGCGACGATCACGACCCCAACGTGACCATTCATGTCGAGGAAGGCGACACCAGGGAAGAGCACACCGCCTCACCCTTCCACGTCGACGCGGCCTTCAACGTCGCCCGATGCTTTGATAGCCCGACTATCTTCCAACCAATCCATGTGTCGCCCAACAGAACGAGCGGATTAGAATGTTGGAAAAAGACCGACAATCACGCTCTCCACCGCAAAGACACTGTCGCCCAGTTTCTCGCAGCCTGTCCCCGCGATGACGAGAAAATCGTCCTTCATCTCCCCCGCGGAGGTGTTAGATGCCAAACTTTACTTATTTGATATATCAAATGTTGGCATCTTTCATTCTTTTTATAGGTGAAAGTGATTAGAGTCACTCTTGTTTTTTATGATATGCTTCATTGTGTGAAAATGTCTTGGTTGCTTTGATTTGTGTGCTATTGTGTAGAAATTAGGCACAAAACAAGAATAGTAAGACACAAGGACTTTGACAAGGAAACCAGGACAACAGAAAAACATCAACAAGTTCGCAAAGCAAACTTCCTAGCAAATTTGCCCAGAAAAATCATCAACAAGTTCGCACAGCAAACTTGCTAGCGAAGGCCCTTGGGAACCTGACACTGTTCATACAGAGAGAAAAAACATCAAAATTCTCTTTGTGGAGGAGCTAGCGAATGGTTCGCTGGAGCGAAGGAGAAGCAAAGTCCTAGCGAATAGCCCTTGACCGGAGGCAGTAAGTATTTGGACAAGAATTTGTTGTGCGAAGTTTGTAGCGAAGCCTTCGCAGTGCGAAGTTTGTAGCGAAGCCTTCTCAGTGCGAAGGATTGCTCGCACAGTAAATATGTGGAAAAGCCTCAAGGGCGGTTTAACTGTTCAGAGGCACCTCAGGTTCCTAATTTGATGTTCGCTAGGCGAAGGATCTGTTCGCAGTGCGAATAAGACAGATCCTGAATGTACTATATAAGTACTTTTCTTGCTTTTTAGGTAGAATGTTATATTTTTTACATCAGAACTTATCTCTCTTCATTTCAAGTTTATTTTAGTGAGAGAAATACAAAACCCTAAGAGGGAGGAGGTAAGATCTTTAATCTCTTGTTGGATTTGGATGTAATCTTTTGATACCTCATGTATTTCATCTAATATATGTTTGTGAACTAGTTTGGATTCTCTATTGATTGATTATTTTTGATTGCTTATTTGTGGGTCTTGACAAAACCTTTTCACATCTTTGATCTAAGATTTTCATCTATCAATGAAAAAACTTTTGACATAGTTTTGTAAGTTGATATTCATTGTATCTTATATTTTATTGTGTTGATTAAGTAGCATGAGTAGCATGAGTATAATCAATATGATATTGTGCGGGTGCGTGATAATAGTAATGAAGAATGATGTTCACAACCATTTGGAAGATTAGGTGAATACATGTAAAAAGGGTTAAACGTATGTATGTATTCTGATCTATGTGTTTTATTTAAAACAATCATTTATCCTATATGGGTGTCGTCTTTGTTTGCCTGTTTATCTTTGATTTGAACCGCTATAGACATGTACTCTTCAGATCTGGATCTAGGATGATTACCTATTAAGTCCTAAACTCTAGACATAGATTTAGGCTTAGCATTTGTGTGAGTATTAGTTCTTAATGCTCTATGTTGTGTTTTTGTTGCGTGAGACATCACCAATGAGACAACACAATTGTTCTCTCGATGTTGCGTTAGATATGACCTCTATCGTGGGTGATGCATGAGGATATTATAGGAATGATTGAGTTGTGTTATATTTTCTGTCTTTATATTTTCTGCCTTTTATTCATGGTTCCTTGAACCTTTTAAACCAAACCTTTTAAACAACAAGCTTAAAAATATAGAGATAGTTGAACGGCGTTTGTATCGCACCGATCCCTATGGAGACGATATAAATTCGGAGGAAATTCCTTAAAAACTAAATTTTTGCTTCTTGCCGCTTTATTGTAGTTCGAACAGGAGGCTGCATCATGACGAGTCTCAAAGCCCCTCCCCGTGACAGCCTGGGCTTCATCCGCGACTAGAAAGGCCTCATCCCGTGGCCACCCAAAAGCGTGTACGGTCTCATTCCCGAAAGGAGCAACGTTCCCCAGATCCCAAGAGAAACAGAGCTGACAGGCAGATCGAGAAGCTGAAGAGTCGCCCAAGAAGCCCTTTATGCCGCAGCAGGAGCCCTCGATACGACCTTTCCCCCTCACAATCACCAATCAAAAGCGACGAGTACGAACCCCACACTCCGCTGTCCAGGGCTATCAAGGAGACTCCTCTCCTCGTTGGGATGGCGAAGCCCCCGATCCTAGCTACCTACGATGGTACGACCGATCTGGACGACCACATTGAAAGCATCGATATGATGCTCAACTACAGGAATGTCTGGGGAGCAATCAAGTGCAAGCTCTTTCCAACGACCTTAAGGAAATGGGTGATGGCGTGGTATGAAAGCCTCGAGCCTGAGTCCACCACCTCCTGAAGAGAGCTGAAGAGGCATTTCTCCAAGCACTTCATCGCTTCCTGGCAACACCCGAAGACGAAAGCATCCCTGGAAGCCATCATCCAGGGGAAGGAAGAATCTCTTTGGGACTATATAAAGAGAGATTCAACTGAGAAGTTGTGCAAGTTATCGCGGTGAAATTTGGATACCAAGCTATTGATGAGCTTGAATCTTATTCATTTACAATCGAACTTTGATTTGTCCAAAGGAAGGGATAAAAATCGAAATTCCCACAATGCAATGCAAATGCAAGCTAGAGAGTTATAGGTTCGGGGGTTGGTTAAACTTAGGGAAGGTGCTAGCATCCTAAGTTTCTGTAGTACTCTACAGGAACCTCTTGTTTTAATGTTGTTTATTGCTATGGATTATTTGCTTAAGGGTTGAAAAACCCTAGGGGTTTATTTCTAAGTATACTCGATAAGATATCGCATCTTATGCCTACATATCCTTACGGGAGTGGAATCAGAGTATCTGTAGTTCTCCT